ACTCACAGCTAGAGATCAAATGGTGGGACCCTGGCAGGTTCCTGTGGCAGATGTATCTGTTACAGCAACGTCACTTACCAGTGGTATCAGAAGCGGTGAGGCAATGGCAATGGGCGAAAAGCCAGCCATTGCGCTCATCTCTCCAGCCGCATCCGCACGAATGGCAGTGGCTGAATCACTAATGAATCTCACTGCTGCAGACCTACCTGACCGTCTTCATCAGGTCAAGCTCTCCGCAAATTGGATGTGTGCATCTACTCATCCCGGTGAAGGCGCTGGGATCTACGAAGCCGTGGAAGCATTGGGCATGGATCTGTGTCCCAAACTCGGCATTTCAATCCCTGTCGGTAAAGACTCCATGTCCATGAAGATGAAATGGACAGACCCCAAGAGCAAGGATGTAAAGGAAGTCACGAGCCCCTTATCAGTCGTTATATCTTCATTCGCCCCCGTGCTGGATATCAGGAAGACATGGACGCCACAGCTAAAACGGTACAGCGAAGTGGGCGAATCTACGCTCTTCTTTGTGGACTTGGGTCTCGCGCACCGTGCCTTGGGAGGGTCCGCCCTTACACAATCCTTCAAACAAATTGGCGATGAAGCACCCGACATCCGCTCCATCTCCTTGTTCAAAGATTTCTTTGACGCTACACAACAGCTGCACGAACAAGGCCTCGTGCTGGCTTACCATGACCGTTCAGACGGTGGCCTCTTCGTGACCCTCGCAGAGATGTCGTTTGCCGGTCGCTGTGGCATAGAAATCATGATCAACGACATATGTCCCACGCCGCACACGTCGGACGTAATCTCCACTTTGTTCAACGAAGAATTGGGAGCAGTATTCCAGGTTCGCAAATCTGATGAGAATCACTTCAAAGCCTGTTTCGCAACGTGTGGGCCCCCTCCTGGTCTCATCCACAAGATCGGCCGTGTATCCACGAAATCTTCCTCTCAAAACATGGCCATCTATCACGGCGGGAAATTAATCTACCGCGCGACTCGTGGTCAGTTACAACAAAAATGGTCAAACACATCATACTGGCTTCAACGACTTCGGGACAACCCTTCCTGCGCGGACTCGGAGTACAACGCCATCCTCGACGACGCCGAACCAGGATTGAGCTATAACCTCAGTTTCGAACCCAAGGAGAACATCAATACATACAAAGCGTCCTTCCTCAATTACATGCGTCCCACTGCCCGACCACGTGTCGCCATCCTGCGAGATCAAGGCACTAACGGCCACGCGGAGATGGCGTTCGCGTTCGAATGCGCCGGATTCACTGCGGTAGACGTCCATATGTCCGATATCCTCGACCCGAAACCACACCAGTCACACCTCGGCGTAGATCACGACCTCTCTTCCTTCGTGGGTCTCGCTCTGTGTGGCGGCTTCAGTTTCGGCGACTGTCTCGGTGCAGGTCAGGGGTGGGCGAAATCGATCCTCTTCCATCCCACAACCCGGCAAAAATTCCACACCTTCTTTGAAAGGCGAGACACATTTACATTGGGCGTCTGCAATGGGTGCCAAGTCCTCTCCAAACTCAAAGAATTGATCCCCGGGGCAGAGAAGTGGCCGTCTTTCGAGAGGAACGAGTCCGAACAGTACGAGGCGCGAGTCTGCATGGTCAAAGTCTCTGACCCGCCTGCGGAGTCAGGCATGGCCCCCAGCGTGTTCTTGCACGGCATGAGCGGTTCTTCGTTCCCCATCGCCGTCGCACACGGCGAAGGCCGCGCCTCGTTCACGAACGACCTCCCACCGCCGCATACGGGAAACAGGACGTGGGACGCGTCCCTCGCGCACGACTTCACGTACGCCGACCTCGCGCCAATCCGGTACGTGGACAGTAAATCCTTGCAGCCCACCACGACGTACCCTGCCAACCCGAACGGGAGTCCCGCCGGGATCGCCGGCGTGCGAAGCCAAGATGGGCGCGTGTTGGCCCTGATGCCGCATCCCGAGCGCACGATCTTGGCCGGTGTGGCGAGTTATATCCCCGAGCATGCGATAATGGGGGAGAAAGATGCATGGGGCGATTGGGGCGAGCACGGACCGTGGTTGAGACTGTTCCAGAGTGCGAGGAGATGGGCTGGATAAGAGACGCAGCTCCTGACAAAATGAGACCGGGGGTGAGACTTGGGGAAGGAATGTGCCGGTTCATGGACGACGCTCAAGCACTGAAGAATACTCGACAAAGGCAGACGAGACGACGCACAGTTTGATGATGCCGGATGAGGAACGATGTCTACTCTGGGCAGGTAGCAAAGATTTTGCGGAGGTCGTTCAATGCTGTGCCCTACGGTGGGATTAGCTTGATCGTAATCATGGAAGAGGGGTATTTGCCGCAAGGCTGAGCTCCCATACCCATGCACGGAGGTCGTTATAACGATAGACATATTGAGATAAATATATTGGGATTAGATTTCCAGATAAACGCAAGTTCACGAAAAGATGACCATGCAATGGCGCGAGCTCTATGACATAGTTCCTGGAAGTTTTCAGCTTTTTTTTTGACCTCTTGCAGCTATATTAACTTCACTAAGGAGCCCCGTTTCGTCCGCATTAGACTTCGTGCATTAATAGCGAGTACCTTCTAATTACACAATGCAAAAAGAAAAGACGAGAAATGGCGGCACAGCCTATAGCATCCGCCAAGACCTCAACTCGAAAATCCCGGAGCTCTCATGCCTGCCCTTGACTCAGTAAACTTTTGTACACTCTGAAATGACGGTCATCAGCCAGCCCGGTCTCCTCTATCTCTAGTCGTCCACGACATCCCCTGACATACCCTCTCAACCAGACTTTCAAATAGTGCTTTACATCAACATCCGCCAGGCGCCACGCCTGCGCTGTCGTTCAGTTGTCCGGTAAGACATAATCCAACTGTTGTCTGGTTTCTTCCAGCCCGAATTGAATTTCTTCATTGTGTTGTCTCGGAAGCAGGGCCTGCCTTAAACAACGAAAGATTTCCCCATCAAAACGCTCGTCCACTTCGGCCGTCTAAGCCTTTCGCGATCTAGTGGTTGGACCATTTGATCGCCCGGTGGTGACAGCGCCGTTGCTCATCTTCTCGTCCCCAAATGCAGGTGGAACCCTGTGTGGGTCAGGAAGGGGAAGATCTCTCATAGCGATCAAAGCTTCTCTGCCAGTGTTCCTTCTCGGTCGTCCTTGAATGGTCTGTTTCCGGTAGGTTGCAAAGTAGAATGAGATGAAGAGCAGAAGGTAAGAGCTGAGAATGACAAGACCCGCAATCGCTGCAAATTCTTCCCCTGCGCAGGTACCTGCATTTGGCAGCCAAGGCCAATAGGAGTTGGCAAAGTAGGTGTATGAAGCAAAGTAGACGAAGCCCAAATCAATGACGAATTGGATGATTTGCATGATGGTAATGTATTTCTTCCACCAGATTCTAATTCCCCGAGCGGATTGGAAGTAGTACCTAGAGAAATATCAGCCGCCTGGTCAATTTTGTGTGTCAATTTTTCGTACCAGTACATGACCACGTGCACTGTCAGGTTCAACGTAATGGGAACCCATGAGACCGCGGTGTGCCCAATCAGCTGAGTGTAGCAGAGAAGCGCAGTGGCACCGTGGTGATAGGTGTGAAGGAAGGTTAGGGGTTTCTTCTTGAGGACCAAAAACAAAGTGTCAATGAGTTCGAGGTACTTGGTGAGGTAATTCAACTGCGGGAGTTAGACCGTGGCGCAAGCTGGATAAAGGGACAGCCAGACGTACATAGTACAGCACAACCAACTCCTGAGTCCACCCTCCATTGTAGCTGCAAATGGCGTTGAAGACACCGCCCCGAGCGAGAGTGGGGAGCAACTGCTCAACGAACAGTACCAGCAGGCATCCGCTGATGAGTGTAAGGTAGAGGTTGTGTACCATGAAAGCGCCGTTGAGAGTGAATGGTTTGCGATGTTTCATCAATTCTCTTCCTCCAAAGATGATGGCATAGTATGAGACCAAGGCGATGGCAGTTTCTGGCAGTGTCGACATAGGGGTCTTGCCTGGTTCAAACTTGAAATCCATCGGAGAGTAGCCCACAATGGCGGAATAGGCCTTGTCGAAGAAAGGCCATAGTTCGATGCCGAAGGGGCGATCGAGGGTAGGGAGAGGAATGGACTTGAGGATGTCGCCCGACATGTTGAGGGAATATGGTGTCAATTACTTTCGCGGAGGCAGGCTACAAATAAGCTGGAAAGATGTGAGCGCAGGCGCCGAGTTGACAACGAAGGAGCGACGGTAAACAATCAACTGATGAGGCCGTTCAAGAACAAAGGAGATGAACGAAGGGGAGAAACGGACTGTCAGAGGGATAAAGTAATTGTGGGCCGGAACAGGGTGGAAGGAAGTGAGATATATTCTCGAGCCGGCAACGCGGGCGGAGGCAACTGGGAAAATTGCAGGACGATCGCGAGGAGGATGGAAGTTGCCAACAGTGCCAATTCTTGGATAATCAAAAATGTCAGGGGAAAATCGTGCATAATCGTTTGGCACGATCAAGCACGATGCGCGCAGCCATTACGACAGAGCCAAGCCCCGCCTCAGCCGCCCCTTCCCATTGGCTGTGTTCCTGGCTGTCAATTTCCGCCTAGGGGAAGAAGGTGAGCGATTGCCGCGCGTATAGCGTATGCAAACGGTAGCCGCTGGAACGGCGTGACTGGGCGAGAGGTGTCCGGAGAATTAATACTCCGTGACGAGCATGTAGATGACCATTTTGGGATGACCGCCAAACTGTAGGCCAATCAGAGACCAGCTTATTCACAGTACACTGCCGGTCACGCACGTACGCGCCAAATACCAGCCTGTCACCCATGTCATCCTTGGCCGACGTGTGTCATTTCAACCAGTCAGAAGCTCTGCGAATCGAAGCAAATCTCAGGTGACTGAAGAACCTCGATCGAACATCTGCCCAGACCTTGCACATCGCAGCTTGTCCACCACCTCTCACTCTACCACTCTACACAACCCTCCTGTGCTCAACCTCGCCGATTGCATTATGGCTTCTCTTGCCATGCTTCGTCTCACAGCTCGTCCCGCCACTTCCGCCTTTCTTAGACCCTGCACACGGTCCTTCAGGAGAGCTCCGGCGGTAGTGCAATCGGTTTCCGCAAGGTCCCCCTTCAGCTCCTCCGCCATCCAAAGAAGCGCCGGTCACGAAGACGAAACATTTGAAGAATTCTCTGCGAGGTAGGCTCCCGATCGAGCTTGTTCTTATGGGCACTGGTCGCCAAAAAATTGTTCCGCGCTGTGGCCAAAAGAACAAGGTTGTAATTGGAGCTGGGCTGATCTGATGTCTGGCAGATATGAGAAGGAATTCGATGCGGTGCAGGACGTGTTCGAGCTACAGGTAAAGTTGCCAAGCTCCGGATCCCATTGTTGAGGCTAACCCAAGTCACCAGCGGAACCTGAACAACGCCTTTGCTTACGATCTCGTCCCTTCTCCCGGTGTTGTCACAGCTGCTCTGAAAGCTGCTAGACGCGTCAACGACTTCCCCACTGCCGTGAGAATATTTGAAGGTTCGTTCAGACGAGCTCATCTACGGCGAGGTACTCGGTGTCTAATATGTGAAACCACAGGCATCAAGGCAAAGGTCGAAAACATGCAACAATACCAGGAATACCTAGACGAACTGAAGCCTCTGCGCGAAGAGCTCGGCATTAATCTCAAAGAAGACCTCTATCCCGAGAATAGTGATAGCCCATACCACAACCCATAGGCAAAGCTGTGAACAGTCAAGGAGCACCGGGAAAGACTGGGCATAAAGGTTCCGCATTGGTGGTTGGGAAAATGGAACAGGAGAGTCGCGTGGTGTCTTTCGGACCAGAAGAAGCCAGAATGAGGGGCCCACGCATGTATTCCCTTCATATGCTTTGTGCGCAGCACCCTCAAAGACTACCTACGCCGTAGTAAAAATGTACAGTTTCAAAGACGAGCAGATCCGGGGTTGAGAGATTCCATCGGGTTTTTTTGTGTTCTTTCCCTCTTCGCTGTGTCCCCGCAATTCTAACATCAAAGGGGTGAAGGTGATATAACGGCTGAGGATGTAGGTAGGCATGTGCCCCGACTCCAATGGACATTCCATTCTGTGCGACGACCTACCCAGTTTTCCTGACACGGCGACTACCGGTTGATACGCATTCGACGCTTCATTCCCGTCGACATTAGTTTCGAAACCCACTCGGCTCAGAGGCTCTCAAGTCGCCCTCAATATTGAGGACTAAAATGACAAATGGTTGACTCTGCCGCCGCCCGTGTCCTGGATGAGTGTGCTCAGCCACCATCAACCTCCCACACCGGGCGCACGCGGCTGACAGGGAAAGTATATGCGGAATCGTGAGCGCCAAGGGCAGCAGTACAGGTACAATCTGGCATGAGATGACGAGGATAGTTTCTGGCGAGGGAGCAGAGACAGGCGGACATAGATCCAGAATGTGAGTGTGTGGAGAGTTCTTATCTGAGCCTGGCGTCGGGTTTGGCGTCGGTTCGGAGCAGGTCTGCACAATATACCATGTTATTCTATATATGGTTGGCTTCAGCGAGGTGCATCGTCTTGCGGCTGTCGATGTGTCAATGTCATGTTTGATTGTCGGGAGCGCGAAGTCCAGCTGTGTCCCGATCAGGCTGAGAAGAGTCCTACAGGGGGGGATCATAACGGCTGACCCCCCCAACTGGGCCACTAGCGCGTCGCATTCCTGTATTTCTGCCTACCTACCCTCCTGCCTACCTGCTGCCTACCTGCCTACCTACCTATTCGCCGACCGCCTACCTATCCACCTATTATCATGCCCGGCAAGCACAAGAATCGTAAATCGTACGCGGATCCAGAACGACCTCGAGGACAGCGATTAACAGAGAAAGAACGCGTTCAAATCCTTACCTTATATAATATGGCGAAGTGGAATCTTTCACAAATTGCGCGAGAACTTCGAATTGCTCGTACGACTGTTCAACTTTGTGTTCGCTCTGGTGTCTGTACGCCTCAAAGACCTATAGGACGTCCGCTAATACTTACGACGAGGAAAAGACGACGTTTAATATAACGCGTAACTCTTAATACCCATCATCGACGTCTTTTATACACGGAAATCGCTCAACTCGAAGATATTCAAGTCTGTCGACACTCTTTATTAAAAGCATTCGAAAAAAGAACGATATTTTCGTCGTACAGCGTAAGAAAAGCGCTTCTTACGCCCAAGTATATAGTAGCACATTTATAATGAGCAAAAAATCATGAAAACTTGGATATTGAGATTTGGAAACGCGTTGCATAAATAGATGCGGCTTCGTTTACCGCTGCAGGAGGCTTTGGAAACGTTTATGTTACGCGCACAGATGAAGAGAAATACCATCTAAGCTGTCTGGTTCCAAAATTTTCTGGATTTTCAGCAGCAATGACAGATACGTCGATATCTACGATTTCAAAAGGTCCTCTTACTATATTTATGGATAAAAATTGAGGTAAAGTTTCAGCACAGATTTATACTCAAAGAGTGTCATCTCATTTTTATCGACATCTTCGAGAGATTGAACTAACAGTTGGATTTATGAGGGTATTCTAACGGAGGACAATGCGTCTGTTCATACCCGGTACAGCAAGATTAATAAGAGCATATTGTAACAGAGCACTCCAGCGTTCGGCATGCGCGTGCAACAACGCACAAGAGCCCGTCCAGCAGGTCGGGAATCGAGAACGCGTTTCTGGTTGACGCGGACAGGGCAACACCACCACCAACACCAGCCCCCCGAGAGAGGCAGCGGCTGGGGCAGCGAGCGCCTAGCACGGCGACGGCATTGAGAAGTAGGAAAGGGCCGACGAAAAACACTCAGGAATAGGCAGACGACATCAAAAACATGGAATACTCTGTCAAACTGTAAAGAATGGCACTCTGCCAGCACTGTGAACTGTTCACCACTCCCCTTAGCCCATTTTTAGTTTGACATGTGACCAGACAACACTCCTTCATGCCACCCCCCATACCATCCCAGCACAGCCACTTTGCCTTGTTACAATATCATGCATATTATGATGTTATTCGAATGGTTTGGCCCGCTCATTCGCTAGATTTAAATTCTATTGAGAATGTTTGGCGGCTTCTCAAATATCGAATGGGGAGGCGCATTTCTAAAGACAGATGATGAGGTTCGACAGTACTGGGTATCTACTGGGAGAATGGGCAAGATTGGATAAACAGGACTTTATAAAGTATATAGAGAGTGTGCCAGAGCGCTGTAAAGCTGTCATCGCAGCCAACGATGGGCATACAAAGTGGTAGAGAATGAGAGGTTTTGCAACAAGCTAGTGGACCGAGGGGTGGTTGTCAGCCCGTATATGATCCCCCCTGTAAGATCTACACTCTTTCTCGCAGAGACAAGGCGGCTTCAAGAACCGCATCGATCTCGGCCTTGGGTGGCTTGCAGCCTCCCCCAATCGAAAACCCGCACCTACAGCCGTGGGGGCCGGTACAGTTCGTAAACTTCCCGTTCGAGAACTCTACAGAGAGGGATTTTTGTCGACTAAGCCTTCTTGCGTTCGCTTTCCCTATTCGCTTGTCGTTGCCGTGGTTTCTTGCACATATAACTTGCGGATTTGAATGTAAGCTTTTTTCGGCACAGCGGAGACGGTTTTCGTCGACTTGCTTCTTCGGAGACGGCAGAGGTCATGATACAGAAAGCCCGAGAACCTGCGATGCATTAGACCTGATGTCTAGCCTTGGCCCTTCACCAATCTTCTCTCTCCTGAATCTCAACAAACGGCGGCATCGACGTCGTCTCGGTCAAAATCAACAAACAACCAGAACTTCTGCCCCGATAACTAAGACATGGTCGCAATGTTGGATCTGCAACCAGAGAGGCGCACAGAGGGCGTTCCCAGCAGTGTGTCACCTGATTCTGTTGTCGACGGCCTCCTCAAAGACCGTCTCCGCTTCAACACCACAGTACAGAGCATGTATGATAACAGGCGCAGTGACCGTCGTGGCATATGTATTCGTCTGGTTCCTCTGGTTCGGCCCCTCAGGATGACGTCCCCACGGAGCTTTTGGATTGTTCTCGCTGCTGTTTAGATGAAGCCTCAAAATCACCTCTCCTAAACATATGGAGATATACTCCTGCTCCATGTCAGCACCGGTCGCTGGTCTGGGCTTCTACAGTGAATTAAAGTCTCTCAGGACCTGGAAGCGTGGCTGCCAGCCGTGCAGTCGAATCTATTCCCTTCCTTCGCAGCGCCGATGGGCCAACGCGCCTGCCTTGCCCAGGACCCTGGCCTGGTGATCGCCATGGAACTGAATGCGATCACCATAAAGGCCGGGGCAGTCTGGGGGATCGAGGTGTTCCCGCGCACGATCAATGGTCCTTGCGTCGGGGTACATCGCGGCGGCTCAGACGCTGATGCTTTCGTCTGTCATCGCGCTGCTCGCCTTGACGGTATTTTCGAGGTCAGCATGGCGGTGTATCCGTTGGATACTGACGTGGTCGAGTCACGCGGCCAGGGAGAGGCAGCTGAACGGGCCTGGCGGACGGCAAGGCGGTAGAAAAGGGGGTACGCGGGACGGAAATGTTCGGCTGGATGAAGAGGGCCACCGAAGAGACGAGTGTCTTGACACCCTCAACAAGGAGGGCGGAGTGCACTAGATGATGTCTTCGCCTTCTCCTAGATGACCTGAGAGCCTCGCGTTGCAGCAAGCACCACCGAGAGGACATCCCTGTCTCACAACATGGACGCAGAAATATCCGTCCTTCCACGAGGCCGCGACGGGTAGAACCCATGTACCTACACAGCAGGCGCAACAGTACATGGACATATAGAAACATAGCTCCAGCGCTTGTCTAGCTAGAGGGACGAGACGAGACATGGAGTATAGTATATTGTGTATGCACCCGGTAGCGGACACTCTCGTGACGGCTGTGATTCTGAATAGATGGTTACTGTAGGACTGGAGCAGAAAATGGAATCCGTCGTAATCATAGATCAATCAACCAACCACCTAACCAACCAAGGTCACAGAGTCATGGATCAAATTAATCACGGATGGTATCGGAACACATGTAGCATTATTGCAAAGCTCGAGAAAAATGTACGGTTCTGCACCTCTGCATTCTTTGGTTCTTTCACTCATGTGTGTCCCAGGGCGGGTTTCGATGTCGGTTTCAGCCTCGTGGACTTCTGAAAGCCGCAGCTGGCCCTAGGCTTCACTTTCTCGGGATCAAACCCTCTTTACCTTGGACTGATTCCTCCTCCTCATCCTCCAAATCCTCTCATCCCCCTTTCTCTCAGTACAGATAGGCATCCCTTAGGTAGACTCCCCCCTCATAATGCCCATATCACGACTCATCTCCTTCCTCCGTGCTTAAACCATATATCTAAACTGCTTATCGTTGCCGAACTCGCCAGGCTCCTCGAGGTGAACCGTCTCCCTGTCGCGGCCGTATTTCTCGTCGCGCTTGCGATTGGCCCGAATCAGCAGGCCCATCTGCATGCAGCTTGTGACCACGACGATCAGACACGCGCCGCACGAGATCCACATGCCCTTGCGATAGTACGGCGCGTCGCTTTTGGGAAAGATGTTCGTGCCCAGCACGGGCCCACACTGGCCACCCGTAGCAAGGATGGCCAGCGCGACGGCCCGCTTGCTGTCCGTGGCATGGGTGTTTCCGACCCAGGTCAGTGTCATGGCCACCGAGACGAAGATGAGGACGGCTAGGAACAGGCCGAAATAC